AAATAAGACTCTACTAATGGTCTTTGGTACTAACAAGCATAGGACTACTATATAATAGTAAAATGAATAGGAAAGAGAGAGAAGGATAGACATAAATTTTTTTTTTTTTTTTGAGACAGAGTCTCATTCTGTTGCTCTGGTTAGAGTGCTGTGGCGTTAGCCTAGCTCACAGTAACCTCAAACTCCTGGGCTCAGGTGATCCTCCTGCCTCAGCTTCCCGAGTAGCTGGGACTACAGGCATGTGCCACCATGCCCAGCTAATTATTTTTTCTATGTTTTTTTAGTTGTCCAATTAATTTCTTTTCTATTTTTAGTAGAGACGGGGACTTGCTGTTGCTCAGGCTGGTCTCAAACTCCTGACCTGAGCGATCCTCCACCTCGGCCTCTCAGAGTGCTAGGATTACAGGCGTGAGCCACCATGCCCGGCCAAGACATAAAATTCTTTATGCATCTCTGTATTCTCTCCAGGAAGCTGCCGTAAAAATAACAATTCTTAGACACTTCAAATATTTAGGCAAGTCAAGGCAATAAAAGACCATACCTCATTTCGAGCTTTTGGACGATCAAGAAGAATTTTCAGTGCAAATCGCTCTTGGGTAGATTTCTTCACACAGACTCTAGATTTGGAGAAAAAAGTCAATCAGAGATCATTTATGTTACAGTGAAATTTAAGAAGTCTATTTTTTGAGATTTGTACTTCTAATCAAGGTATGTCCAGGTGCATCAGAACAAACTTGCCAGGAGATGGCAAGGCAAAGCAGCACACTGCCTCGCCAGCTGCCAGTGCCCAGGCCTCAGCTCTGTAACCTTCACCTCCCTGCTGGGGGCTAGTGAAGAAATGAGGGCCTCTGCTGGCTACAGGTGACTCTCACAGGTGTCAAGACTCCTATAGTCTTGACATCTTAAATGACTCCATATTATAGACCATGTGACTTGATCCTTGACTATATTTCTAATGTGTAAGAAAAAGCTAACATAAAAACCTCTACTTTAAATTAAGGCTATATCTCAAATCTGGCACACCTGATGCTTTTAATTCAAGATGTATTTCAAATGGCCCTTCTTAAGAGCAACTTTGCCATAGTTGCTCTTGCCATACTCCCACATGGGTCTCTTACCTAACTGGACCACTAATTCCAGCTCCCAGCTTCTGAGTCCAATTGATATTGTATTCTTCTAAAATGGAAGTTTCCTATTAAAATAAAAAAAATGGAGAAAGCAGAAAATTATTCCCCAGTTAAAAAGGTGAAAATTTGGCCAGCCATGGTGGCTCACACCTGTAATCCTAGTACTCTGAGAGGCCAGAGGCGGAAGGATCACTCAAGGTCAGGAGTTCGAAAGCCCTGAGCAAGAGTGAGACACCCCACCCGTCTCTATTAAAAATAGAAAGAAATTAATTGGCCAACTAAAAATATATAGAAAAAATTAGCTGGGCATGGTGGTGCATGCCTGTAATCCCAGCTACTCGGGAGGCTGAGCCCAGGAGTTTGAGGTTGCTGTGAACTAGGCTGATGCCATGGCACTCACTCTAGCCCGAGCAACAGAGTGAGACTCTGTATGTATGTATGTATGTATGTATGTATGTATGTATGTATGTATGTATGTATGTATAAATAAATAAATATAAATTAGCCGGGCATGGTGGCCCATGCCTGTAGTCCCAGCTACTTGAGAGGCTGAGGCAGGATGATGGCCTGAGCCCAGGAGTTTGAGGTTGCTGTGAACTAGGCTGATGCCAGGGCACTCTAGCCCAGGCAACACAGTAAGACTCTGTCTCAAAAAAAAAAAAGGTGAAAATTTAAGCAGAGATGGGACAACAAAAGACCCATCACTCACCATCTCATCTTCTAAGAGAATCTGAAAAGTGGAGCTTTGTTGTTTATTAGGGCTTCTGTCTAAATGACTCGGTTAGACATTTGTTTTAACAAGGAAGCAAAGACTGACTTTAGGATAAAAAGATTATTCAGCTCATCTACAAGGTACATTTGAGTAGACAATCAATGCTCTTTAGGGAGTATGGGAGGAAGATATTCTTTGAAAATCCTTCAACTACTAAATGCCTCTTTGCTACAATGGTCAAATGTATTTACTGAGATTCAGAAAGACTGCTCAGATATGTGTTGTTCGTATGCCTGCAGAGACCTCTGGTCCCTGAAAAGTTGATCAAATTGTGGCAAAACTGAATACATTTAGACTTAAAAGTGCAAATAAAAGAAGAGTAAATATCATAGTAAATATCTAATTTTCTTTTTTTTTTTTTTTGAGACAGATTCTTGCTCTTGTCGCCTTGGCCAGACTGCAGTGTACCATCGCTCACTGCAACCTCAAACTCCTGGGCTCAAGCGATCCTCCTGCCTCAGCCTCCCCAAAATGCTAGGATTACGGGCATGAGCCACCATGCCTGGCTGTAAGTACCTGATTTGCAATAGCACCATTTGTGAGTACATATATACTTTTTTTTTTAAATAACTGCTTTTTGAGCTGTAATTCTTATACATACAATTCACCCATTGAAGTTATATATTCAGAAGTCTTTAGTATATTCACAGAGTTGTGCAAACATCACCACAATCAATTGTAGAACATTTTCATGACCCCAGAATCCATGCCCCATAACAGTCACTCTCCATTCCCTCCCTAAATGATCTCTATTGTTCTTTGCTCACACTTTCTGCACACAGCAATCAGATTATCTTTTTGCAAAACAAAAATTATTTATTTATTTTTTGAGACAGAATCTCACTCTGTTGCCAGACTAGAGTGCCATGGCATCAGCCTAGCTCAGAGCAACCTCAAACTCCTGGGCTCAAGCGATTCTTCTGCCTCAGCCTACCGAGTAGCTGGGACTATAGGCATGTGCCACCACGCCTGGCTAATTTTTTCTATATATATATTTTAGTTGTCCAGCTAATTTCTTTCTATTTTTAGTTGGGGTCTCACTGTTGCTCAGGCTGGTCTCAACTCCTGAGCTCAAATGATCCACCCAGCCGGCCTCGAGAGTGCTAGGATTACAGGCGTGAGCCACCGTGCCGGCCAAAAAAAAAATGTAATGTCATACTTTTGCTTAGAAACTTTATTGCCATTGGAATAAAATCCAGATTCCTTTCTGACTTATAAGGTCTTTAGAATCTGGTTTGTGCTTGATTTTCTGGCCTAATTTCCTTCCTTATAGTTTACAAACTGACCAAATTTAATGTGTTAGTTACTTTAATGAGCCTTCTTCTCTTTCACACTAGACAGGCTTTCTGCTTAAACAGCCTTCCCCATTGACTGTTTACATCCTAGTTTATGCCTGTTTTCACTATCACTTTGGGACACAGGACTCTGCCACATCATTACTATTGACTATCTATTTATTATATTTATTTTTTTGAGACAGAGTCTCACTTATGTTTGCCCCAGGCTAGGGTGAGTGCGTGGTGTCCAGCCTAGTCACAGCAACCTCAAACTCCTGGGCTCTAAGAATAATCCCGCCTCAGCCTCGCAGAGTACTGGGACTACAGGATCTACCACCATGGTCCTCTGCTAATTTTTTCTTATATATTATTTGCCAATTAATTTACTTTTATTATAGTAAACATCTTTCAGCTGTTCATCTGACTGCTGGCGGGGGCTAGTGAAGAAATGAGGGCCTCTGCTGGCTACAGGTGACTCTCACAGGTGTCAAGACTCCTATAGTCTTGACATCTTAAATGACTCCATATTATAGACCATGTGACTTGATCATTTGACTATATTTCTAAATGTGTAAGAAAAAGCTTAACATAAAAACCTCTACTTTAAATTAAGGCTATATCTCAAATCTGGCACACCTGATGCTTTTAATTCAAGATGTATTTCAAATGGCCCTTCTTAAGAGCAACTTTGCCATAGTTGCTCTTGCCATACTCCCACATGGGTCTCTTACCTAACTGGACCACTAATTCCAGCTCCCAGCTTCTGAGTCCAATTGATATTGTATTCTTCTAAAATGGAAGTTTCCTATTAAAATAAAAAAAATGGAGAAAGCAGAAAATTATTCCCCAGTTAAAAAGGTGAAAATTTGGCCAGCCATGGTGGCTCACACCTGTAATCCTAGTACTCTGAGAGGCCAGAGGCGGAAGGATCACTCAAGGTCAGGAGTTCGAAACCAGCCTGAGCAAGAGTGAGACACCCACCCCGTCTCTATTAAAAATAGAAAGAAATTAATTGGCCAACTAAAAATATATAGAAAAAATTAGCTGGGCATGGTGGTGCATGCCTGTAATCCCAGCTACTCGGGAGGCTGAGCCCAGGAGTTTGAGGTTGCTGTGAACTAGGCTGATGCCATGGCACTCACTCTAGCCCGAGCAACAGAGTGAGACTCTGTATGTATGTATGTATGTATGTATGTATGTATGTTGTACTGTAGATGGTTTATAAATAAATAAATATAAATTAGGCCGGGCATGGTGGCCCATGCCTGTAGTCCCAGCTCACTTGAGAGGCTGAGGCAGGATGATGGCCTGAGCCCAGGAGTTTGAGGTTGCTGTGAACTAGGCTGATGCCAGGGCACTCTAGCCACAGGCAACACAGTAAAACTCTGTCTCAAAAAAAAAAAGTGAAAATTAAAGCAGAGATGGGACAACAAAAGACCCATCACTCACCATCTCATCTTCTAAGAGAATCTGAAAAGTGGAGCTTCTTGTGTTTTATAGGGCTTCTGTCTAAAATGATCTGTTAGACATTGTTTTTCCTAACAAGGCAAGCAAAGACTGACTTTTAGGGAAAAAGATTATTTCAGCTCATCTTACAAGGTACACCTATTTTGCAGTAGACAATCAATGCCTCTTTAGGAGAGTTATGGCGAGGAAGAGTATTTTCTTTGAAAATCCTTCAACTTACTAACCTCATCCGCCTGCCTTGCCTACAATGGTCAAATGCGTATTTACTGAGATTCCAGAAAGACTGCTCAATAATGTGTTCGTATGCCTGCAGAGACCTCTGGTCCTAACAAGTTGATCAAATTGGTTGGCAAAACTCGGAATACATTTAGACTTAAAAGTGCAAATAAAAGAAAGTAAAATTCATAGTAACATATCTATATTTTTCTTTTTTTTTTTTTTTTTGAGACAGATTCTTGCTCTTGTCGCCTTGGCCAGACTGCAGTGTACCATCGCTCACTGCAACCTCAAACTCCTGGGCTCAAGCGATCCTCTCGCCTCAGCCTCCCCAAAATGCTAGGATTACGGGCATGAGCCACCATGCCTGGCTGTAAGTACCTGATTTGCAATAGCACCATTTTGAGTACATATATACTTTTTTTTTAAAATAACTGCTTTATTGAGCTGTAATTCTTATACCATACAATTCACCCATTGAAGTTTATAATTCAGAAGTCTTTAGTATATTCACAGAGTTGTGCAAACATCACCACAATCAATTGTAGAACATTTTCATGACCCCAGAATCCATGCCCCATAACAGTCACTCTCCATTCCCTCCCTAAATGATCTCTATTGTTCTTTGCTCACACTTTCTGCACACA